CCGCGCGGCTTCTGGGTCCCTGCTCCCGCTAGCCGCGACTGACACCTACGACTCGGGCAGGCGCCCGCGGGCTGGGCCGCTTCTCCGGGACTCCAGCCCGCTGTCCCTCGCCTCGAGTGCAGGCGCCCAGGAAAAGGGCCACGGTCCTGCGCGGGTGTGGGCTGCTCCGCCCTCGCGCCGTCGGTCTGTCCATTTGTTGCAGGGTTTACTCTCGAGCGGCGCCGCGGAGGACTGGGACTGGTTAACTGTCTCCGTGAAGTGCGCCCCGTGCTCGAGGAGGTAACTGAAACTTCATTCGTGGCCAGAGGGGAAGGAGAAGAAGGACTGGGTCCAGGCCAGGACTTCAGTCCTGAATTTCTGCCATTCCCACAGGAAGGGAAATCGCTGAAGCGCTCCTGGAGCAAAGCCTAGACAAGCTTGCAAGTCCTACTTGTGATGTTTTTTAATTTTTCATTTTAGAAATTGATTTTCTGGACTGGGATGTATTTCAGTAGTAGATCACTACCTTGACATGTGTGAAGCCTGGTTCTGATCCTCAGCACTGCAAATAACAAACAGGAAAAGAAATAGATTTTCTATCCAAACTCTTCTCGCCTGCTGTAATAAGCTTACATCTTTTTGACATTCCAGTATTTCCCAATAGGCCATGAAAAAGTAAACAGATCAAATGAAGATGAAATACCCCACGGAGGTCTCAGTTTGAGGCCTACTACATATTTCACTCTTTTCTTGTTGACTTTTAATTTGTACTACCTGCACAGCTATAGAGGTTTCATATGTGTTGTCCTTTTCTCCCAGAATGCGGTTATCTTAGACCAAGAAGTTATTCTACAATTAACTTGTAATTGTTTTACCCTACGGTTCCAGGCTGGTGGAGACGTTACCCTCTAAGGTCGAGTGAATGAGTTCCATCCCAGTACCACAGAGAGACAAAGACAGAGACGGAGATTTATTTTCATACAAATTCCCTGTCGCTTGCTATAGTGGCTATGCCTATACCTTTGTGACTCTCCTGTTGCTCCAAATAGACCATGAAAATATAAGCAAATGAAATGAAAATTGAATACCCCATGGCGGGCTCAGTTTGAGAGCCACTGCTTACCTTAGTCTATAGTGGTTGTGTTTCTCATATCCAAGTATGGCTTGTGCTATTTATTATATACACATTTTAGTAGCACCTTTTTACATTCATCCTATTCATTTATTGGGACGTTTTTCATTTTTGTTTTTGTTTTTTTTTGAGACAGGGTCTTGCTATGTAGTTCAGGCTGGCCTTGAACTCTTGGTGATCCTCCTGCTTCAGCCTCCCCAGTGCTAGGATTATAGGTATGTGCCCCCCCTACTCTAATTTCTTTTTAAAAAATAATTGTATACCTGGGGTGTTGTAGCACACACCTGTAATCCCAGCACTCGGGAGGCTGAGGCAGGAGGATCACTGTGAGTTTGAGGCCAGCGTGTGTTGTATATGAGTTCAAAGTGAGCCTGAACTACACAGCAAGACCCTGTCTCAAAAAAAGCAAAAAATAAAATAAATTAGAATATAAATAGGGGGCGAGGATGTAGCTCAGCAGCACAGCCCCCACCTGGCAAGTGCAAGGCCCTGAGTTCAATTCCCAGCACAAAAAGAAAGAAGAAGAACAAGAAGAGGAAGAAGAAGAAGAAGAAGAATATAAATGGGAAAGAAAACAGCTGTGAAAAAAGAAAAAGAAAAAAAGAATCATGGCTCCAGACAGAAAGGATTTAAAAGGAGAGAAGAGATTGAAAATATGAACCCAGGTCCCAAGGAGTGGAGGGGGTTTGCAGCAAGATGGCGGGGGCCTGGCAGAGGTGGACATCGGAGTGTCTGGCAGATCTCAGGAGGAGAACTCCAGCTGCAGGGTGGGGAGAGGGAGTTGGGCTAGAATGAGGCTGGAGGGTTCCTCCAGGGGAAGGGAGAAGGGATGTCAGAGTGGCTTGAGAAGTGGGGGGAGGGGGGAGAGTAAAGAGAGACCTAGGAAGGTGGACTAACAGCACAAGGGGAGGGAGGCTGAGAGGCTACAGGCCTGAGGACTGAGAAAGGAAGCAGCAGCAGGTGTGGAGATGCCGAGAGACAGTGGACTCCCCGTAGGTCTGGGGAGTAGGCTGGCAGGGGAGCGCAGCATTGTCTGTTTGCCTGTGAACAATAAAGGGCCTCCTTGTGCACCCCAAAACTGCCTTTGTATCCCCAGGGTCGGGGAAGAACCACCTTTGCCAAATGCAGAGGGAAAAACAGAGGCAGGCACAATCGTAATACACTGATGGTGTGAATTAGGACAGCAAGGCTTCCAGGCTGGGGGTTTCCAGGCCCGGAGTGCATGCCTCCGTGTCTTAATCTGGGGTGAGCGAGGTGGAGATGGAATGTATAGGACACATAATTGCCTTAGAGGAGAAGGACCTGTGGCAGCTGGGTATGGCAGCTAGGACATAAGGGAGCTTTGCTGGGGGAGAAAAGATGCCCAGCACATTTTCAGTAAGGTCCCTAGCCACTCCCCTTTGCCTCAGTTGGGAGGGCAAGGGTGCAACCATCAAAGGAAAAGCAGCATTCTTCGCCCAACCCCCACCTCCTCCACTCTGCATGTGGGTGAAGACTCAGACAGTGTCCCTGGCAGCATCCAAGAATCAGACGTGTGACCAAGGAGTGCATCTCACATGGCTTTCTTCCAGGATTCTGCCCTTAGTTCCAGGACTAAGCAGTAGGCCGGCCAAGTTGCTGGAGTTTCATCACGTTTCTTCACAACGGTAGGGGGTTTCCATGCCTGGAAATATGACCGATGTCTTGGTACAAGCAAAGCATATTTTCTGTGAAAGTCTATTAGCCACAGATGTCGCAAAGGCTTTTCAACATGTGTGTTCACTCGAGAACCACCCAGGGATCTGGGAGACAGCATGGTGCAGGGGCTGGGAGTCGGTGCTCTGAGATTTAGCCATTTGTGAACATGGGCAAGTCTCAGTCTTATCTGTAAAATGGGGATATGAATACCTACTTTACAAGACTATCATAAACTTTAAGAAAGATAACCTAGGTTCATAATTTTTTTTCAATCCTGAGAATTGAATCCAGGGCCTTGTGCATTAGGCAAGTGCCCCCACCATTGACCTATACTCCCAGTGCCTTAGTAACATTTTATAAAAGATTATTGAAAACCCATTATATTTTTATTGCATCCTATTTGTTTCCTCAACTGACAGAAGTGTTCCTGAAGGCATAGCTCAGGTGTAGCCCCCAAAGAGTGAAAAAGTATTTCTTCAGTGCCTAGTGTGCACTCAACACTGTGAGAAGGGTGCGTACTCCGGCCTAGCCCTCCAGACAGCTGACTCCTGATGGAAAGATGAGACAGAAAATGCCCTTGCCAGGCTGCAGTGAAACTGAATGCTAAAGTATGTCATGCCCTTCCATGGCATCAGCGTTGGTGGAAGCAGGGCGGGGGGTGGGGTAGGAGGGGCATGTTGGCTGTATTGACCAAGGTAGAATGTCTGAAAGGAAGAGCTTGAAGCAGAGTCTTGAAAGATAGGCAGGATTTGGAGGCTTGGTGGGAAAAGAGAACAATCTTGTTTGGATAGATAAATAAATCAATGAATGAATGAACAAAGATAACCATAAAATTGCTTGGCCATAGGATCAGCCTGATGGATGCTTTGTTACATGAATGAATGGAATGATTAAATGACTGAACAAATAAGCCAAGACAATAAATACCAAATCCTGGAGTTAGCCACAAGTCCAATGGAAGTGGACTTCGGAATCCAGAGAGTTGAGAAGAGTAAAATAGAGACAGAGCGGATTGTGGAAGAGCTTCGAGACAGCAGATTATTCTACTAGGAGTCTGGAACCTTGAGTTCAAATGACTAAGTTTGTCTTACTTTTTTTTATTGCTGAGATGAAATACCCAACACCCAGAGTTAAAGGAAGAAAAGTTTATTTCAGCTCACAGACTGTAGAGGATTTAGTCCATAATGGGCTGGCTCCAAGGCAGGTTAGCATGGCTGATGGGCATCGCAGAGCAGAAGACAAGCAGAGCAACAATAAGCAACAAGCAACAAGCGATGACACAGCAGCTCTTTCTGTCCCTTATATATTCCATTCCAGGCTGTCCCCGCCTTAGGGTGGGTAGCACTCACACCCTTACTCCTAGCACTGGTGAATCAACCCTAGCATCACATCCTTGATCCCAGCATTATACAGCCTGGATCCAGCCTCCTCTGAAAAGTCCCATCTGTGATCATGGTGCTGTGAGGGGACATCCAGACACAAGCCATAACAGAGTCACATTCAGATTCTATCATTTACCAGCTACATGACCTTGAACAAGTTACTTAACCCCTCTCCGTATTAGTTAATATCTGCTTTATAGTGTCATTTTCAGGATCAACTGAGAAACCTAGAAGGCCTGGCACATAGTAAGTGCTCTAAAATGTTAGCTTTTGTTAGTAGTACTAGTTTACTACTATCATTTACCAGCTACATGACCTTGAACAAGTTACTTAACCTCTCTCTGTATTAGTTAATATCTGCTTTATAGTGTCATTTTCAGGATCAACTGAGAAACCTAGAAGGCCTGGCACATAGTAAGTGCTCTAAAATGTTAACTTTTGTTAGTAGTACTAGTTTCATCAAGGGCTGGGAAGAAGATAGATTCCATATAAACACTATAATGAGCCATTGAAATCCCTCGAAAGAGAAATGGGAATGGAATGAGGTGTTTAGTAGAGAATCATTTGGCAGCAGTACTCGGGCTGGGTCATGAGGGAAAGCAGGAGCACAGCAAAGCGCAGCCCTAAATGGAGAAGAAGTGCTGATCAGGGATTAGAAGTCACACCTTCTAAAGCAAGACAAAGTCTGTCCATTTGCTGGTTCATGTGTTGGAGTTGTAGCTGGACTGCAGCTATGATTAGCAAGAGCATAATACTAATTCTGTCAAAAGCACAGAAACAGGTCTATCAGGCCCACATTTATTCTTTAGAATATTTCTATTGATGAATTATTAATTTTAACTTTATGAGTTTTATTGTACTAAGCAATGAGTACTTCACAGGAAAATCACAAAAATAAAATATTGGATTTTTAATGTTTATTGAGTTTACAGAAAAGCATCAAAGTTTTCAACATCAATTGACTTTTGGTGTACAAAGTCTAAAAAGAACAACATAAATAAATTCTTATATGAACTACAATGAAAATACCAATAGTACTTTATCAAAAAAAAATCTTTACTTCAATAGTCACACCTAAGGCAGTCTTCGTACATGACAACTGCATGTTTCATGCACATGTCTCACTTACACTGACAGCACATGTGCTTAGCTTTCCTGGCCTTTTTGTAGGACATATTTGACATCTCAGTGGTCTTGCTATTTTCTCAAGAGGTTCCTACTATATTGTATAACATGCACTTAGCAAGGAAATAAGATATCAATAGAATTAAATATCAAATATATAATGAGTGCTTACAATAGACATCAACATTTACACATCAGCTTTTACTTGCTTAAGAAACCTAAAAGATAACATCAAAAGTAAAAACCTATGTGAACAAGTGTGTAAATACAAACAAAAGTCTATCACAGAAATAATCTTTGCTTCCACCATCACACCCAAGGCAGTCTTCACACGTGAAAACTGCATGTTCCATACACAAGTATCACTTACACTGATAGCTTGTATGTTTTGTTTTCCTATCCTTTCTTGTAGGACACAA